AACCTATCTTTAAAAAGGTATTTTCGAACTGGTGAGACTATTGACCTAAGCCAAAGTGTGGATCCCAGGCCATCAAGATCAGCATCCTCTGGAAATTAAGTATAAATGTCAATTCTTGGGTCCCATCCCAGATTGAATGAATAAGAAATTTGGGGGCTGTGGCCTTGAAATCTGTGTTTTAAAAATCCCTCCAGGTGATACGGTTTAGTAAGCACTGGCCTAATAAAAGCCAGAGGAATTTGGAGTAAAGTGTTCTTGGATATGTTCCTGTCAATGCAAGTTTAGCTGCGGATCCCACTGGCTGTCCTCTCAGGCTCCCGCAGCCCATGCATGTGAGCAAGACAACCATGTCAGAGACTTAACTGGGGTTTACTAGTGGTAAGACATTGAGATCTGGGGCACAAAGCAATTCATTGTCTTTTCAATTGTAGAATTATCTGTATCTCGCTGACTTACCCAGAAGTTCTGCATTAGTACCCGTAGAAGAGAGAAAATGCTACAGAGAGAACTCACCTTAGTGCACTTAGAGAGTCTCAAATGGCTAAGGGGTGTACCTGGACAGAACTCTTCAGAAGTAAGAACGTTGAAAGAAGGTCAATTTGGAGACTTACCGCAAAATAAATGCAACATCTTTGCTTGGTGACTGTCCCCCTCCCCCACACCCCAGGGCTGAACCCATTGACAATCACAAAATGCAAGTATTTGCTTTAGGATTTTCTTCCAGAGCTATGCAAATAGCTTTAGTTGATCACTTCTTCAAAGTGCCCTGAAAATCTCATTAAGAGGAACTAATCCTAAATTCAGTTTGGTGTTCTTGCTTTAATCAGCTTGTGGAAAAACCAACAAAAAACACACAGGTACAGAGATAAGCAAACATAATTAAGGGGTTAAAAATGGAGGCCCCAAGGAATGATCGTTCACAGCGTTTTTGAAGTAACTCAATACATCTCATATTTGGTTTTGCTGTGGACCAGTGACCCTATAGTGAGGTATGAATTTCCATGGAGAGTGGAAGGAGCTGAGGCCTGAGCATCAGAAAGCCTGACGGAATTCCAGTCCTGGCTCTGCTGTTAATTTGTCACAAGTTAATAATAATTACAAATATGGAGAGCGGCCACTATCAACCGCTGATATCTAGTGAGCCCCTTGACTTTGAGTCCTTCGGTTTCTTCGTAAGGGTGGTAATGTTTTCTACCTCTGAGATAGGGTGGAATGAGTTAAATGTAAAGTCATTTTGAAAAACAAAACCAATAATGCAAATAGAATGTGTCTATCTATCTACCTACCTCCTTACCTACCTACCTTATCTATTTCTATCCTGGACCGTAATACTAGGTATTAATAATATGGCTCATGGTGAGCATCTACTGCTTTTAGCTTGAAAAAGTCGAAAATGACTTAGTTGATTTTAAATATATATTTTTTTAAATCATGAAAAGAACATTTAAATTAGAATCCTCTTAATTCAGCAAAAAGATTTAGGTGGGTGTAAGAACTCTTAACTGAAAAGCTTCCGTTTACACAACCTGGAATGAACCGATTGCATGTGAATGCAATAGGCAATCAACAAACATAACTGGGTTTTATTTGGTCCTGAAGAGAAAGAGTGAGACCGGTTGGTCTCTTGCGGTCTATGAGCATTAATAAATACAGGACATTTTAACTTTCCCAGAGGAACTATCAAGTAAACAGAAGCAAAGGTGCAGAGAGGCTGACTGTGGCAGCCCAGGGAAGCTATTGTGTGGTGAGCTGGAGGGGGCAGCCCCAGGCAGGAGGGGCGGAAGGAATGCTCCCAGGTTTCTCTGAAGCGAATTATCAAACACGGGTCTGAGGTGTTGTGTGCTGAGAAGCCACAGTACCAGACGCGCTAGCCTGGCGCGTCAAGTGAAGAGATGAGCGCCTGTGAATAAAAGCTTCAGGCCAATGTCAAGTCTACCAAATAGAGTTGCAAACAGCTCCCGGTTCTGCAAGCAGAGACCACAGACATAAATCAAAGAGCAATCTTCCAACATGGGCTGTGTGGGCAGGACTGGCCACTTGTCACGCTCCGGTGCTCTCCGCCACAGTTTCGCACAGAGAGAGTAATTACCGTTGGTGGTGTCATCTGAGAGTTACCACGGACGGCGGGGCGGAGCTTGCCCATGAGGTGAATGGCGAGGACTACTCACACCCACAGTAGGGACACAGTTTACCCCTGCCCACTTGTATTTACTCTCTGGATCGAGGAGGGCCAAAAATATTTTCCCTTCGAGGTGTTCCTTCTCAGGATTTATACGACATGCCTTATTTCCTTACCTCCAGCTCCTGTTTAGGAAGGTGTATCGCAGACTCCTATTTCTGCCAGGGGGAGAAGTCTGAAGAGACTTTACGAAGGGGGTTCCCGGGGATAAATCAATGTTTGCAAGAATCACATGTTATTAGGATGGTTCTGAATTCTAACTAATGTAATCTGGAAGGATTTGAAGGAATGGGGGTGGGGTGAGGCTTGGGATTTTCCACTCCTGGTGAAGATTGGGTAACACTAAAGACAGGAATCAAAAGCAGTTGGTGACACACCGTGCCATCCGTTCCGTTCTGGTCTTCACATATGTCAAATCCTGGGCCAGGAATGTTGCACGGTGGTGAGTGTGGCTTTCCTCCCATGACTGGACAGCTGGCTTCATAAATGAAGTGCCATTGCCTCTTTTGATGTGTCCGACATGGACTTTACCCGTTCCAATAAAGGATTCCTTTTTACTATTTCCTTATTTATGAAAGAATTGAAAGAGAAGCTTTCCATGCAAGGGCAAGAATCATAAAAGAGACATTTATATGCCATTTACTATTTCGGGCTTTTTAGAAAAAACACGTAATTGCCCTTAAAGGGAATGGGGTTGAGCATTGTCATTGGTTTTACGTTTTGCAAGAATGTGAACAGATGGGCCTAAGCCTCTCTTTCATTGACGGTAAATCCAGCTCATTATACTTTATGCATCTCTTTATAAAGTTCTATATTACCAAATCACAAAATAATTCCGGAACTAACATTATTCACTGAGGCCTCTTACAGAATGAATGCATTTAAAAAGTCCTGTGTCATGATCCCAGGACCCTGGGATCGAGCCCCACGTCGGGCTCTCTGCTCAGCGGGGAGCCTGCTTCCTCCTCTCTCTGCCTGCCTCTCTACCTACTGGTCATTTCTGTCTGTCAAATAAATAAATAAATAAATAAATCTTTAAAAAGTCCTGTGATCATAGTAATATTTTTAACTCAATAGCAGTAGACATAGAAGTTAATCTATTGTTATTACCATGACATTAATTCAGCTTGGAACTAAGTCTAAATCCCATCATTAGTTCACAATTGTTTTTCAGCATAACATTTCCTCAGTACATACATAAGGGTATTAAAAAATGATGTGCTAACTTCTGGCAAAACCGTTTCTTGTTATGGAGAAGCAGCGATTCCTGAGGCCAGGTTAACTTTCTGCTCTTTTCCTCTCATTCTGATCAAAAAGGGTAAGTCGGGACTATACTGTTTAATGTCTGAATCATATTATTTCCAGGAAAGAGAATCTTCTTGATAACCGTTCACTTTCTCTTTGCCAAACAAATACACGAACATATGTAATTTTCTATTTTTTGCAATAGTAATGGTGGTTTTTCAAGTAAGTGGACTGACTCCCAACCTTCGGTGGGACTGGGAATGCCTCCTGAAGCACGCTTATTGGCAGTGCTCGGGCTTCTGCTAAGAAGTCGATTCTCTGGGCTTCATTTTAGTCTGTTTGGATGTTCCCCATTTGCACACACTTAATTGCTTGGCAGTTTGAAGTTTTAATGTTGGCTTTAACATCTCAGTCTCTTAATTTTTTTAATTTTAATTTTTTACATTATATCCTTTTGCTCAAAGGTAAGATTAGATACAAGAGATGGGCCCTTCTAAGATCAGGAAACCAATAACTTCATGGGGTCTTCAGGTTTTCTCAGAAAACAGTGCCAAACAGGTTATGGCTAGCTTCCCATGATTCAAGCATGCTGACATATTGCAAATCTGGGCTTTCCAGGTTGCGGAAACCAGGGGTGGCTTTTAGGTGGAACTGTAAATAGCAGTCAACTGTTTAATGACATAATGTGAATTTTTACAGGTTTCTCTAATTCTACAACCCGATAGCTTTCTGAGCACTTGAGATAAATCTTCACTCACTCTCTGGAATTGTTAAACATATAGGTTAATTTCGCACTATTGGTTTTCTCTACTCTGCATCTCTCACACTTCAAGATCTCTTGACCTACACAAAAAAAAAAATCTCTGTGACTGTCATTGTGAGAAGAGTAGCTCTTCAAAAAGTGCTTGAAAAATCAGGAAAGATAACAGAGTAACTCTTCCCCAACTATTAGCAGGGCGGTTTAATTGGGCATTTTGATTCAATTTTAAGGGAGAGGAGAACAAAATCATGAACATTTACAAGAAGAGGTTTCATATATTAAAGTTTCTGAACATGAATGCTACTCTCAGAAGCATCCCCGGGGAGGCACAATATTCTCATCTCGTGACTGAAAATGCCAAGTTACACCTGAGTCAGAACCAGAAACACTTTGGGTAACAGAGCGAGCAAGAGGAGATGTGCTGCTCAGAAGGGCCATCTGCCTCGCCAGCAATCAGGACCCCCCCTCTTTCGTCTTTTGTTATTCATTTGGAAAAACAAAGGGATTGCATTCTAAGAGTCTTCCCATTTCTAATATCTAATGCTTCTCTATCCAGGACAACGGATACATGCTGATTAACAGAAAAACTAAGCTAAACTGGAACAACAAAAGCAAAATAAAAACTTTTTCTATCTGAAAAACCTTGAAAAATGTATAACACACATAGCCCTTTTGTTTAAAGATCCATCCAGATTCCTGTATATTCTTCTCCCACCCCTGTAATTACTGACAATTTAAAAAAAAAAAAAAGGTCTTTTAAGGATTAAATGTTCCATTTAGTTTTGTAATCATTCCTCTCGTCACCCCTAAAGTATTGTCTCATTAACAGAAAATGATGTCAGAAGCAGTTTATTAATGGAAATTCTTTCTGTGAGCTTCCAAGTAAAACAAAAACATCATTAATATCAGCAATATAAAACAAACAAATTTAAAAACCCCGAAACAAAACAAATCAAACCGCGTGTCTGTCCCCAGCACCGATCACACAGAATTGAAGCCAACCAAACCATTTTCGCACATCACTTGGAGTGTAGATTTATTTGGATTTCAGGATCTCCTAAACAAATTACATCAACCTCACTCCATTTCCTTCCTTAATAAAAAGTATGACTGGACGAACATCAGACTTTTAAAATTCTAAAAGTAATAGAAAAGTAAAAATCGATTTCCTAGGGAAATCCCTCTCCTCGACCTTTAATGGTGTTGCTGCTTCTGTGAAATCTTTCTCTTTGGAGTAACTTGGTAGCATAGTTTTTGTTTCATTTTTGAACTGGATTCATCCAAGGGCACTGAATTAGAACTTCAGCTGATGTACAGAGCACGAGCCTTGATGAACGAGAAGTTACCTCTGCTCTAAAAGGAAATGGGAATGAGAGAATGCAAACACTGGAAGTTTGTTTCATTATGTAACTTGAGTTGTGATATCACAGGAAAACAGAACGGTATGAGCACTCTAAAATCATCTGCAGCACTTTTAAGGGTTAAACCTGCTTAACCCGTTCTTAGTCGGAGAATGGCACCAGAGAGGACAGCTCACCCCTTAAGCCTGGCTATTTCTAAACCTGTGGTTTCCTCGGGTTGTTGGAGCAGTCATGCACTCTATTTTCGCCCCCCTCCCACCCAGTTAATAGGATCCATTCATAGCTACTCACTACTGCAGGATTTGACCTGAGAAATGCTAGGATTTATTAACTCAGCAGTTGTTTGGAAAAGTCCTTAAATAATCTTTGCCCTTGGCCAGCAAGGGCACTGCTAGTCTCAAGTTCTCAGACGCAGCTGGTGAGGTTCTCGGCCAAGTTCTTCAGAGGCAGGAATTTCTGCAGGACAACCTACTTTGACGTGGCATTTACAAATCTTGAAACCAGGCTTCCTGGATCTAGGAAATGTTATTCCTGACTCCTTCGACCCAGATGCTGGCTGAAATTCAGTTTTTATAATCTGTAGGTAATCACTCATTCTTCCCTCCTTCCTTTTTCCTAGGAGCTGGCGTGGTGGTTAAACTTTTCTAAAACAGTCATATTAATATGTTCAAAAATCCACTGCTGAGTCTCAGATAGAGGGTCACATCTGGCCATGAAAATCTTCTTCTCTGCGGGGTTGCAGTCCATGCAGCTGTTGCTCACAGAATGGAATAATGTTCTGTCCTGGAGGGATCAGAAAGAAAAGAAAGGCCTGACATAATATATGAGTGGTTAGAACCCAAAACATACAGAGGAAGTAAAATGTCCCTGTTTATATTTCAGTATATACCCAGAGTGTGAAAAGGAGACCATCTCCCAAATCAAACAATAGCAGTTTGGATAACCACGTGGAGAACAGTGTCCCAGGGCCTGCAGGCTGTAATGGAAACTCCAAGCAGGCTCAAACGTGAACAAAGAATTCATTCCTTCACGGCTGTTTTAAAAAAGCAATCCTTGCAATTCCTACTCTGTAGTTAGCATTTTGCTACATGCTTGGGTTTTAAAGATACTACCTGTATAGGAGGTTGCTGACCAACTAGCTAATAATGTAGCTATCTGGGGAGAGACACATTTACAAAGATGGTAATTCTGTCCATAGCAAACAGCAACAGGTGGGTCTGCATGCAACACACACACACACACACACACACACACACACACACACACATACAGGAACCCACCCATGCCTTTCACAGCCTGGACTGACTGGCATTCACTGAGTCTGACCTGACTAGATTAGAAGAAGAGGAGTTGTAATTTTCCCTTCCCTTGTATGGAGCCTCTAATGGGACAAAGAAGTACAAGAAGAAACAGGAACCAAATGAGCTAGGTGCTCAGTTGCCCTCTTCAGAACTTATACGGACAGAGATTGCTGGTGCACAGGCCCTATCTCCATGTACAAACTCAAATTTCTTAGCTCTGAAGCTTCAGCATCCTCTCCAACCTCCCTTTTGGCCATTACAGCTCTTCTGTGGTGCAACTCTCATTGTTTCCTGTAAAAGGGAGGAGGCAGCATTCACTTAAAAAAAAATAAAAAAGAGTACCTAAGTATGCGATAAAACAAACAGCTCTTTGAGAGAAAGGTCCTATCAGGGCACAAAGCTTACCTGGCCGTGAGCGAGCTCACTATCTGGCTCGAACACACCCCTCTTTTTTTTTTTTTTTTTTTTTTTTAAAGGAATCTCTATGTCCAGCATGGGTTTCAAACTCATGACCCCGGGATCAAAAGTCAGACACTCTTCCAACTGAGCCAACCAGGGGCCCCAACACATACCTCTTCTTATTGTTTAAGTAGAGAAAAGGAAGTTAATGTAAAGAGAAAAAAAAAAAAATCTTTCCTTAACTGGTAACAAAGCCTTTTGTTTCTTACAGCGTCTACGCAAAAAAATTGCCAAGGGCACGTGAAAAGCGTTCTCAAATCACTGTTTGAATTTCGGGGCCAAATACTGTTTTTTAGGAAACGTTCAGAGGTTCTGATTATTTTCTTTAACTGAGGAATACTTGACTCACAATGCTTTTAGAATGACAGAGTTTCTCAGGCAGCCAGTGTAAATATTTCTGGGTTGTTCTGGATGTTAGGACTCCATCAACCAATATTTAATGTCCTTTTAGGATCCGGATGTTTGCACAGTTACGCAGTGGGTGAAGGAAGAATAAGGAAGGAGAAAGGCAGTGCCTGCAATTTAGTGCTTGTTTCTGTTTAGTGTAAACAGAGAGCTCTGCCTCATACAAAGGCTCGCTTTTCTCTTTTGTTTTCTTAAATTTCCTGGGTTGATTGCGGATTTTCCTTTCTTTCCTCAAAGAAGTGTCCTTCCTCTTTTCTTCACCTGGGGCTTTGCGACCTTGGCTGCTGTTCGACCCCAGGGGAGGCTCTGAGGAACTCCCTCCTACTCTGGGTGCGGCCAGCAGAGTCCAGAAGAGAGGCTAGCCTACTCTGACCCTCACCCCACGCACCCTTCCCTCTCAGGTGAAACTCACACATAGAGACCCCTCCTCACAGCTGTGCCAGTCCCTTGGGCTGTGGTCTCTTTTGTGCCCACCCTCTTGCTTCCCAGCATCTTTCATGCTCAGTCCTCTGACCCTAACTTCTACCCATTTAGCTACATGATATATTTAAATCAGCTTTTCAAAGAGCCTTCCTAAGCCATTTGATTCCTGAAAATTCTATGTGACCTACTAAATGCTAATTCACTTTGTTCCACCTAGGTCTCCTTCTTTTTTCCCCTACTTCTCTGTATTTCCTTCTATTCTTTTCCTTTGTCAGTAGCTCAAGTGGGGACCTTTGTATGCTCGCAGTTTCTCCCCCAAAGCACATATTTCTATGAAAGCTAAAAAAAAAAAAAAAAAAAGAGAGAGAGAGAGAGAAAAGAAAGGAGTAGAATGTGTTTCTGTTCTCTTCCCTTCATGAGCTTGTACGGGTGCAAAAGCCAAACCGGATTTTCTGAACATTATCTGCTGAGCTATAAGGTGATCATATTTCCCCCAGTCCCAAGTTGGGACACAGGCTCTGACAAATACAGGTGTATGCAAGAGGACAAGCAGACAGGACACGCAAATTCAGCACCGCCCTGAAAAATCCAGAATATGTTTTCTGTTATTGTACTTGGTGCTCTCATAGAAGCTGAAAGTTAAATTCCCTTAATCTGTCGACGGCTGAGAAGCTTCACCAGTAAAATGAGAGGGTGGTTAAGATTAATCTGTAAGGCCTCTCCTGGCCATAAAATTGAACAAACCTTTTATTCCAAAGTTCAGGGCTGACTGACAGAGACAAATGACGGGGCATCCAACTAGAGACTACCGACAATACTCAGATTGACAGATTGATCATTCTTTGGTTATAGACTGAGCTCTGTTCACCCTTGTCCTTGTGGGTGTCCACCAGGTCCTACAGGTGAAGCTTCTGGAGGCCCTGTCAGCCTCCCCGGAGCATGCATTCTCCGCTTTTGACCTTGGGGGCCGCGTTCGTTGCTATCTTTGTAACTTTCTACTCAGCTAAGCTTTTGGATTACTAAGTGTCTTTACTGATGGCTTTCCTGGCTGGAATTAAGTCAGTGGACCGAGCAATCATTCATCAGTACAGTCTCTCGTTCTAAGACAGCACTTTGTTCCCCTGCCCTCCATCTTATGACAAGAGTTGGCTATAACGGAATCGAATACAGGTCCCCCCCCACACACACCCCGCTTTGGAATAGGCTTCTGGGAGCTTTGGCAAGCCTGCTGTTCCATAACAGTCCCCCTTAAAGGGGCCTTTTGACTGGACTATTCCCTGTTCAGTCCTGAGAGGAAAGCAGAGCATGTGCCCTGGTTGTTCACAGTATAATATGGCAAACTGTACCTCTCTCGTCTCCTCTCCTCTCCCACCTTCCCTGCCTGCTTCCTTCCTTGCTGTTCCTGTTTTGGTTTTGCCTCAGAAAATGAGAAATTCTTGAGCAGGAAATGGAAAAGTTCAGATCCAGGGATGGGGAACTGCCCTTCCAAATCCAATCAGGTCAGACTCAATGCCCAGTTCTGGCCAGTCCAGACTGTGAAAGGCATGGGTGGGACTTTTCAGGGACCCCATTGTAAGGGACACCTTCCTGAAACCAGCCAGCGATTTGATTGGCATCTCTGTGACACTCGTCGCCCGACACTAAATTCTATTAGATTCCATATTTCTCCAGGGTCTGAGCTTTGAAGGCCTGGGTGTGTTGTAGAAAGCATTCCACACCGTGTGCAAGGTAATAAAAGAACAAACCACCAGAGATGCAAAGACAATACAGTAAGTGTGTGAGTTCTACGATGTGTAGAAAGAGGACTCTGAGAATAGAACTGGCACACGGTGGGAGGGAAGGCAGCCTGTGCTGGGTCAGGGGCTGGGATTTTGTTCTGCACAGGCTTTGGATCAAATTCCAGTCATGCCACGTCCTTGCTTTGTGACCTTGGGCAGTATTTAATTCTCTGAACTCCAACTTCTTCATCCGTAAAGTATAGATAATAATCCTGCATGAGTTTGGTGTGAGGATGAAATGAGTTAATACATGTAAAATCGCTGGCACAATGTCCTACATATAATAAGTACTTCCGCTCTGTATCTTCCCTTAATTTATTTTTAGTCAGGGAGCATCCCCAATTCTAAAAATCAGAACGTACAAACCATCTGGTCCGAGACCAGCTATTCAAGACCAAATTGCATTCTCTGAAATCCTGGCAAAATAGAATGTGCAAAAATTAGCTCCTGCCTCAGCCCGTCATCCAAACTGATATACTTCCATTTTAAGCAAAAGGATTTACGGAACAAAGGTGATGTATGGCTCGGGAATTAGTTCTTTTATGTAATTATGGTCAGAGTTTATATATGATTTGTATGTTTCAGTCCTTTGCCTGAAATACAACACAATTCAGGTCAGAATTCAATAAATAATACATATTTATTGAATGCCTTTTATTTTCTGGTATGTATTAGAAGAAAGGCCTAGAAAGATAAGCTGAGATGCAGCTCCTGACCCAGGAAGAGGGGGACACCAAGAGGTAAACAAGAAATGTATGAAATAAAAAAGTGCCAGTGAGACTGTGGATGAGGGAGAGTAAAATGTGTGAGGGTATTTCAGATGCAGAGAGCAACATGGGGAAAGAGAGATGTGATTGCATGTGCATTTATGCACTCTATTTATTCAGCAAAAGTTTATTTGGGACTTACTATTTATTAGCCACTGTTTTAGGTAGCTAGGATATTTCAGTGAACTTCACAGGACAATCCCCGCTCTTGCACCGCCCTCCTGGAACTTTCATGCTAGAGGCAGGGTAGGGGTGAGGCAGTGGGGCACAGACAATGGGCATAATAGGTTATGCAAATTTAAAGATTTTTATTTATTTATTTGACAGACAGAGATCACAAGTAGGCAGAGAGGCAGGCAGAGACAGAGAGAGTGGGAAGCAGGCTCCCCACTGAACAGAGAGCCCGATGTGGGGCTCGATCCCAGGACCCTGGGATCATGACCTGAGCTGAAGGCAGAGGCTTTAACCCACTGAGCCACCCAGGCGCCCCAGGTTATGCAAATTTAAATAGGGCAGCAATGGTGCACATCATTGAGAAGGTGACATATGGGTAGTCTTGAAGAAGGTAAAGAAATTGGCCATGCCAATATCTGGGGAAGAGAGTTCCAGACAGACCGGCTGGTGCAAAGGCATTAAGCAGGAACACCCCC